GTGTGTGTGTGTGTGTGTGTGTGTGTGTGTGTGTGTGTGTGTGTGTGTGTGCGTGTGCGTTTGTTTATGCGTGAGTTGTGATTTTCTTTGTGACTTCCTCTGCCTGACTGTCTGATTCCCCTGTGTCTGTCTGTCTACCTGTGTGTGCGTGGCTGGTGACGCAACTCACCGCTCGGTGCCCATCGCCCGTCGTCAGCTCGAGAACGGCGACGAACATGACGTCAACTTGCATGACCTCGTTCGCATTGGTACGCCATGCATACAAGCGTATGTTGTGTATTGTGTATATTGTGTGTTGTGTTTGTGTGCGTGTGTGTGTGTGTGTGTGTGTATTGTGTGTGTGTGTGTTGTGTGTGTGTGTGTGTGTGTGTGTGTGTGTTCATCCATTCACTCGCATAACCTCCTCCCTTCCCCCACCCCTCTTGGCACCCGCGTCTCGCTGCGTAGAGAAGGACCTCGCCGCAGGTGTACGCGTGTACAAGAAGAAGAACAAGAGCAACGGTGCAATGGGCAAGAAAGGCAACAGCAACACCAACAACCACGACGAAGATGATGATGACGACGACGACGACTTGGCGAGAAAATATTCAGCGGCACCTTCGCCATCCCACCGCGCGCGTGTGGCGGCAGCAGCAGAGCAGCCCTGCGAAGCAAGTGGTGGTGGTGGCGGTGATGGTGGAAGGAGGACCGTGATTGGTGGCCATGGTGAGGATGGTAGAAACAACATCGACAGTGGTGGTGATGTTGGGGACGGCAATGACGGCGAAGCGTTGGTGGGGAAAGAGAAGAAACAGAAAGTGGGCAAGAAGAAGAAAAAGAAGAAACAAAAGCAGGTGCGGCACATGCATCTGGTGTGACGACGCTCAAGCTCATACTCGTGCTCATGTCCATGCTGTTGTGTTTCGGTACGACCACACTGGATCGTGTCCCCACACCCACTCACTCTTGTCACACACTCACACCCACTCACTCACTCTTGTCCCACACACACACACACACACACTCACACTCACACACACACATACTTGCACTTGTGTGCTCACTGTGCAGGTGCTACTGAAGCTGTAACAACTAGGAGGAGGTTTGAATTGTACATTGGTTATCGGATGCATCAAATAAAGTGAATACAAGAAGAAGAGAAGAAGAGAAGCAACGAATCATAAACACACAGAAGGCTGAATGAAAGGGTGTGGACACTACCAACGCCAACACACGTGCAAAGTATTGTGCGTTCACACGTACACACGCGCGCGCGCACGCGCACACACATCAGGACGACACTGCTGGTGCGTGCGCGCGCTGCGTGGATGTTGAGCGTGTTGCATTTGAAACGCGTGACGACCGACCAGAACGCACAGCATCTCCCGTCCGTTTTGCACCACGCCCACTCGCTCGGCCACGCGTGCTTGCAGGCACGGGCGTTGCCGTGGACAAAGATGACGACGACTGCAACTGCGCAGGTGTTGGTGTGTCCAGCACGGTTGATGGGGCAGGCGTTGGCCGTGGTGTCGTGCGTGGCGTTGACAGTGATGACTGTACCGTGGGCGCTGGCGTCATGGTCGACCCGCGTGCACCCGACACGTGCTGTGTCCGCGCACCAACACGCGATGGTGCTGTGCTTGACCGACGGCTGCTGCTCACACTGTTCACGCCACTGCCGCCTTTGGCCCTCCTCTGCGTCGAAGCCGCCGACCCAGCCGTCGCCCTGCGCCCACCGCCACCACCACCTGTTCTTCGTCTCGCCCCCGCCACCGCTGTTGACCGCAGTGAGGTGCTTAGTGGTGTCCCCGCTTGGCCCGTCCGCTGCAGCCGCTCCGCCCTGGTGATGACGACAATGATTATGATGGTGGTGGTGATGATGACGATGATATGAATGGGTGAGTGAGTGAAAAAGAGAAAGTGAGTGTGGGGGGAGAGAGAAAGAGAAATGGGGAGAGAGAGGGAGAGTGTGGGGGGGGAGAGGGAGAGAGAGAATACAACAGCGACATGGGCATCATCATATGAGTGTGAGTGTATATGTGTGTGTGTGCGCGCACTTTCGAGCCGCGAGCTTCTCCCTCAACGTGTTGAGTTTATCCGCCTGCGATTTTGGTCGTCTGTGCATGCATGCGTGCGTGCGTGCGTGCGTGAGCGAGAGGGAGAGAGAGTGTGAGTGAGTGAGTGAGAGATTGAGAGAGCGCGTTCCATGATGTTCAGCACGCAGAGCAAGGCCCAGCACAAGGCACGCACGCACACGCACATACACACACGCACAAACACGCAAACACACGCACGCATGCATGCACACACACACACACACACACACACACACACACACACAAAACACACACACACCACACAAACAACTGACTCGAGGTGAGCCAATTTCTGCTTCTGTGTCTGGCGGTGCGCGCGCTGCATTTCAAGTTGCATTCGCCCCTGCTGAATCGCCTCCATCTTCTCTTGCAACATCGCGTCCTTCGCAAGCTGTCGGCAGCAGAAGAGCAGTGTGGATGGGAGCGGTGAGGAGAGATAAGAACCACAACCATGCCTACACTCACACAAAAGAACCCTACATATTCACGCACACACAACACACATGCACAGTATCTGCATCCAACACCAACAACAGCCAACAACCACCAACAAACCTTTGCGTCAAAGATGACAGCCCGACGTGCCTCCTCCTCCTCCTGCTTGAGAGTGCGCAGCATGTGCAGCCGCTGCTGCAGTTCAGCAAACGACATCTCGGACATGAGGCCCAAGTTCATCGTCTCAGATGCATTGAAGTCGGCGCCACGGTCGCGGCGGACCGTCTCCAACGCACGGATCTCCCTAAAGTGGTGGTGATGCCAAAGGTGGTGTGAATTGTGATGGTTGGTTGGGCGATGGTGTGAATTGTGATGGTTGGTTGGTGGTGTGAATTGTGATGGTTGGTTGGTTGGTGGTGGTAAGTTTGACAGAAAAGACCACGTCACGTGTGTGAATAACGCCACTGACCACAAAACACAACACAACACAACACAACACAACACAACACAACACAACACAACACAACACAACCCGACACAACACAACACAACACAACACAACACAGCACAACACAACACAACACAGCACACAACACAACACAACACAACACAACACAACACAACACAACACGACACAACACACGACCGTCGAGATGGGTGCAGACCTGATGAGCTCCTGGCGCTGTGCCATCTCCTGGGCAGCGCGCTCCTCGGCCTCCCGCAACAGCTGCTCCCGCTCTGCCTTCACCGCAAGGCCTTGCTTCCTCTTCTCCTCAAGCGCCTGATCCACAGCAACCGCCGCTTGCTCCCGAATCTGCAGTGTGTATGGCAATGTGTGTGTGTGTGTGAATGCGATTGCGGGTGCAGGGAACAAAGGCAATCACCGTCGATACTATTCACTTTTCACACACACGCACACACATGCACACACATGCACACACATGCACACGCACACACACAGGGCACAGCACCTGCTGGATCTCTGCAGCCTTAAGCCGCAGCATCTCGTCCTCCTTCTGCCTGAGCCGCTCGGCGTGTGCAAGCAGCCGTCTGCTCTCCTCCTTCACGTCCCACGCCTGCTCTCGCTTCTGCTCCTCGGCCTCCTGGCGCGCTATCAGCGCCTCTTCGCGCGTCAGTTGGCCCTCAAGCACCTTCCGCTCAATGTCAGCAAGCCTGCAAAGCATCGTCCGTGTGAGGGAAGAAAAGCGTGCGATTGCAATTTGTGTGTGTGTGTGTGTGCATGTGTGTGTGTGTGGTTGCAGACAGGCACTTGTGCAAGCCTGACAGTGTGAATGCGGGGGATTCGGTCAAGAACACAGCCAACACCACCGCTCTAAACGCCAATGCCATGCTCACCGCTGCTGTTGTTCCTCCAGTTTGATCTTCTCCTCCAATTCCTGGAGTTCGCGCTCGTTGAATTCGCCGGCCTCCAGCCTGGCCAGGCGCTGCGCCTCATCCTCTGGAAGGAGGGGCGTCGCACGCACGTGTTAGGGTGGGCACGCACGTGTTAGGGTCATGGAGGGTCATGAATTGCGACACGCAGATCGTGATGAAGTGTCGGTGGCACTGTTTCCCACACCCACACACCACGTGCACATAAACACATACGCAAGTGTGCACACACACACACGCATGCACGTGGGTGGAGAACAGACCGAGTTGCTGCCTGTAGAGTTTCTCTTCGCGCAGAATAGCGGCAGCGTTCAGCTTCACGGGAACCTGTCAGCGGTGGCAATGGTGGTGGTGGTGGTAGTGGTGGGGTGGAGTGTGAGCAACGTGGAAGTTCAGGTCGGAAGGGAGAGTGGCAAGAGCAATCACACCACCACCGCTACTACTGCTAGTGTCGTCACTCGCACATCATCGTCACCATCATGCCATCGTGGCTACCTGGGCCCTGACGGTGGCTGGTGCTGGCCGGGCGCGGTGCTGCATGTCCAACTGCGCAAGCTCCTCCTGCACTTTCCGCTGCACACACACACACACACACATGCACACGTTAAAGTATAGTGACCGTGATGGTGACGCAAGAGAATTGACTTGTGTGTGTTTACACAAACATCGCCGCAATCGCACACGCACACACGCGTACATTCACGCGCGCACACACACACACACATGTACATACCTGTGCGAGCTGCTGGTGCTTTTCGCGCCAGTGGTTTGGGTCGGGCACACACGCAAACGTGCTCTCTGTCGCCGCTTTTGCTCTGGACAATACATCCACCAGGACACACACGTGGATGAGTTGTGCAAGTCGTGCGTAAACACGTGTGTGTGTGTGTGTGTGTGTGTGTGTGTGTGTGTGTGTGTGTGTGTGTGTGTGTGTGTGTGTTTCTGGGGCTCAGAAAGAGGTGCACAGGTATCGCCGATCATCCGCGACAACATGCACATACAACGCGGGCACAACACACAATCACATGCGCACTTTTTCTCTGCCAGTCTTCTGTTCTTCTCGCGTTTTCGCTCCAGTGCGGCCTCTTCCAGCGGCGT